TCAACAATCTTTTCTTCACTAGCTTTTCGATTAATTTCGAGATAGTTGATAATAACGAGATGGGTCTGAAGTTTGAGGGGTTGGTGACCTCTCCACCTTTATAGAGAGGTAGAACAACTGATGTCTTCAACCCTGAGGGAAATACTCCTGTCACAAAAGATTTGTTAATCACCTCGGTTAGTGCAAATAGAGCTTCTATCGGTAGGTTCTCAAGGAGTCTTCTAGTTATACCATCCAACCCCGCGGACTTATCATTTTTTATTTCCTTGAGAGTTTGTTTCATCTCGTAAACATTTGTAGGTGTTAAGTTGAAATTATCATGACATTGAAATTGATCAAGATAACTTAAAGGGTTGATTTGAGGTACTATAGTGGATGTTATTTGTTCGGCAATAGAGCAGTAAAAATTATTCAAAGAATTCGGGTCAATGTTGATCACTGCTGATGAAGATAGCCTTCCTTTACCCCGCAATTCATTAATAATTGCCCATTTCTCTCTAGGTTTATTTTGTGATGATTCAATTCTTTTTGAGTAGTAATTATTTTTTGATATTTTGATCAAGCTTCGGTAGATTTTTCTATATCTATTGAAATACTGCATAAAACCTAAATTCGATGTAAATTTTTTTATTGTACGCAAGCATCTCAGATTCTTAAACCTGTTGAGATCCAAGGCTTTCTATTCTTTATTTTAAGTTTTCGTAATGGAAAGTATTCGTTGATATTATTTGCTAAGGTTTCTTGAAAAATGGTAATAGGATCTGAAGCAGTTGTTATATGATTCAAATCAGTTTGTTCACATTTTAGTCTGAATTTGTGATAATTATTTTCGCTAAAGATTCTACCTTCTCTAAATTTCATTTTGTTTTTCTCTCTATCTAGTGAGAATTCGAAATGAATTGCTTCACGATCAGATAAGCCTGCAGGAATAACTGATGTGGAATTGTGTTCAGTTTAACACTTAACATGAATATACAAACTAAAACTTCAACCTAGCAAGATGCAGGACATGAGCATAGTTATATGTACACATTAATACATTATGAATAACATTTCCTAACCTAGTAACATTGACAGTTTTTTTTTGAGGAGGGTGAGTATAACCACTACATAGTATAAAACAAAGTCGCTTCCCACTGTATGTCACTATGTATATGCTTAGATCTTATAACTACGCAACGGATTTTTTAATAGATAGAGTGATTTTTTTGAATGATGCAACTAATTTTCCTTTATTTTCAGTATTTAAATATTAACATAAGTCCCAAAAAAAATTTGAAGCTTTATAACTTCATTTATTATATGCGAGCGCTTTCGATAGCTGGCTGTGCTATCATCTTCTTGGCTCTACTCAAACTGAACGTTTTATATTCTTGTTTGTTCTTTTATGCGGCTAGAACGCCTCAGTGCAGGTACTGCAGGTAAACTTGCCTGTATTTGGGTTACACCAGGTAATATTCTTTGTGTTGGATCTTCTCTAGATTTACTGTTT